ACCTTCGTTTTTGTAAACTGTTCTCGGAACTTTTCATTGATTGCTGATTGAATGAAGTATTTTCAACCATTCTCTGGCTTACTGATTTCACAACTCATTGGCGGTAAGCGATGATCTTTTAACGGAGATGAATTGGATACACTTGAATGATATTTTTTTCTCATTCGAAGTATGTTACACAATACTAACGTTCTTGTCCAGTTCATAATATATTATCTCAGCACCATTATGTACTATTAATTTCTGAAAACAAATCAATAAATCAGTGAAATATGTTGTTATCAATGGAATTATCTGTTCTTAGCACAAGTAAAAATAAGAAACTATCATCGTTAATGTTAGTCTTGTTGACTAATGTAACTGTTAATGACAACTTATGTACAAATTACAAGAGTAAAAAAATGATGCAGTGATAAATTCACTGAGATGGTTGTTGTGTTATTTTTTGTACTACTGTTTAAAAACATTTCATTAGATAAAAGTACAAAACTGCTCGTCAAGGTTACTTTCATCCTATTTTAATATTTTTATTTAGTATAATTAAGTATTGATGAAATAACGCTGGTGTTTCTGTTCTACAGTAATGCGACATTAGATTGCTGAGGACGAACAATGAACGATTTATCTGTGTGAATAATCCACTCGTGCTCTATAATAGATATGCAGCCAGCATAATCGAGTTGTGTTGATGCTTAACAGAATTGTGCCGGCAATCTAATATCGCGTTACTGTAGAACAGAAACACCAGCGTTATTTCATCAATACTTAATTATACTAAATAAAAATATTAAAATAGGATGAAAGTAACCTTGACGAGCAGTTTTGTACTTTTATCTAATGAAATGTTTTTAAACAGTAGTACAAAAAATAACACAACAACCATCTCAGTGAATTTATCACTGCATCATTTTTTTACTCTTGTAATTTGTACATAAGTTGTCATTAACAGTTGCATTGGTCAACAAGACTAACATTAACGATGATAGTTTCTTATTTTTACTTGTGTTAAGAACAGATAATTCCATTGATAACAACATATTTCACTGATTTATTGATTTGTTTTCAGAAATTAATAGTACATGGTGGTGATACACTTATTAGAAAGATCACGTTAAAATTCTAGGGCTGAGTTTATTTGTTAGGCAACTTTATTTGTAATATTCTTACTACTAAATTTGTCGTACCGAGGTACTTCCGGTCCTTTAACTTTCGATTAAAATAAGTTCAAATATTTGATTATCGAATAACATACTCCTCGATTTTACTGATCAGTGGATAACTATAACATCTACGATGTATGGTAAGAGTAAAAGAGTATAATACAGGGATGAGATTAGAATAACCACGATGAACTAGCTAGTTTCTAGTCAGTCAGAAAACATCTTCCTTAAAAGATTAATTTAAAGAAAAGAAAATAATAAGATTACAAAGTTTTAACATATGTTATATAAGTAATGAATTTAATAACGTTTTCTACAGGTTATGCTGGCTTTAAATCAAGAAGACAATATATAAATTCATCTTTATAGTTAGAGGTTGCCTGTCTTTTGCTATCCGTAAAAGGATGAACATAGATTTTTCAAATATTTTATATTTTTCCTAGTTTGGGGTTAGATATAAGGGTTTATGGCTAGAGTTTTCATCACGAACTGACATCAGTTATAATGCGAAAATGCTCTGTAACAACATAGATGAATGGTCTTCAAGCAAAATCCCAAGAGTCGCCATCTGATTGGTCCTTCTATAAGATAGAATTCCATCACGTCAAGGCTTTGTTTAAGGAACACGAGTTTAAGATTAGGATTTTAGAGATAGTGTCGATTTACCTGTCATATACGACTAACAGAGACAAGATTGATCATTTAATAAATTTAAGACCAATTTTAATTTATGGTCGTAAAAATAATTATTCGTTATCATCTCAAACATTATAAGTAACGTACAAAGGTATATCTGTGGTGTATGCTATTTATGATGACAGATATAAGTAGTATGTAGCTGCAATCCGAAATGGAATGCCTGGCAGCAGGAGATTGAAACGAAGACAACAGAAAAGAAATCGGAGAGCAATCAAGATAACAACAGAATTAGAGGAATAATGCATAATGTAAAGGATAATCCAAAGATGTTCAAATAATGTGTTTAATGTATGATTTTTATATTTTACTAAGCTACTCTATAAATAATCCATTGGTTTCCTCACTTGAGTTCTCGTTCGCTAGATGTCTACTTCTTGCCATATGTAATACTTGGACATTACGCAACAATCTAAAATGGGATTAACTCACCCCTATACTATATAACTTTACAGCATATTAATTCTTAATTTGTAATTCCTTTTACCACGATAATAGTTATATTGAATAAAGACAAAAATATCCAGACATCATGTTGTAATGTTAATAATCAGTTATTAACTTTGGTAGAACGATAGAGTAAGTTGTAAACTAATTGACAAGGTATTTTTCCATATGTATTGGTATATGTGTACATTGATTGAGACAATGTGAATAATGAGTAAAGCACTATGAAATAACTGTACTTTGACATAAGTGGGAAAAAAATATTCAATTATATTAAAACACTGATACATAAACGAAGAACATATTTTTTCAATAAATTGTCTTTTAATTCTACACTTATAGATCCAAATTAATCATTCCAGAAAAACGAAGATCAAGTTTAAGGCAAACTAAATTGTTTAAGATTATTGCTTGTTAATTTAGGATTGTTTGTAAAATACAATAAAATTCTTAATTTCAAGGCCGAAGCTCCTGGGTTTGAGTCCCGGCGTGTGGGGTTGTAAACACACATACTAGAACGAAACGACTGTCAAGTAATTCAAAAATTTCAGTGGTGGTCTAAATTAGATCGGTTTATGATTCCAATAAAATTCAACAATCTTCACAACATCATAGTGAAAATTGCTAATATTTAAAATGAGTTATATGCAATGTTAAATTTGAATAAGTTTATGTCTTCACTTGGAATTGTATGATATAAGAGAGAAATAATAAATGTCATTAGACATCTGATCAAATGTTTGATAAAAGGCTATATCGTGTATGATGTTATACGAATTTAGTAAGAAATAATGGTATATATATAAGCAATATCCTTTGTTTAGTGTGTTAGAATTTATCCTAACTTTGCACTACTAATGTCACTGAAGATAGAAATGAAATAGACTGTTATGATAGAAATACTTTGAGTTGAAAAAAAATCAGTTTATTGCACTCTAGAAACCACAAAAGGAAAAGAGAAAATCCATCGATTAATATTTAACATGAAAATGAGTAGTAGAGCGATTGGGGAATTACTGTTTAGGCGCGTAAGAGAATAAGTGAGTAGGTCAGATGAACACTATTTATTTATTTAGCCAGATAAACATTGGTATAAAGGAGCATCAAAATATATGTGCGTCACACAATAAATCATTAACTTTCTATGTGGGATGGGATAATGCCCGAGTGGATAAGCTGAATTGGGTGATTTTCTTAGAGGGCAACTGTGCGAGCCTTCGATCTGCAGGTCTAATCCACAAGGTAGTGGGTCAGCGTTGGGAGATGCAGTCCAATGGTAGGCGATGACCAGCAACAGATTAGCGCGCCATTTGCTCCCTAGGGATCATGGAGCCCACGATTTTTTAACTCCCCTAGGTGGGTCCTCCGTACCCACCAACCCGATTTAAGCGCCAGACATTCGCTCTCAGTTTCGTAAACAACAATTTCACTGTGATAAGGCAGTGAGTGGGACTTCCCCGGGAGTGGCTATATACGCGTGGCCATTTGATAGCATTTTTAGGGGGAGAAAGGAATCTATCCACCCTCAGTCGTACAAGCCCATTTGGAGGCTAAATAGTCGAGTAAGCTAGATGAGCATGTACACAGTCACACACTCTCACATATACATGCAAATCGATATGAAAAGTAGAGAGCAATTATGTGGGAATATACACGAATTATCAAGAAAATAACAGTATAGGGTTTTGCGCAGATTGCAGAATATTCGTAGTTTAAATCACGGACTGGTCTCAGCCAAACCACTATTAAAAACCTGGAGGCACTGGATGGCCGTTTCATCTTAGTTTGAAATCACTCAGTAGTGTCCACATACACGATCATACCATAGGGATTCGAACCTAGAATATTCATTCTCATGAGCGAACCTTTAACTCCTAGACTGCTAACCAGGAATCAAACGGTGTACACATTTAATAAATGAATTTAATTGACTCACGATACTGACCAACTTTCACTCAATAACTGAGTTAGATAACTATCTTACACCACACATTATTGAACTCTACTAGTTACACCTTCCCATTAGAATTCTAAGAATTGCATTTAGAAGATAGCCGCTAATAAGTACATGACTGTTATCAGTATAGGATTTGGTGGAAATTAATTTTCATAGATTTTATCTCATAAACTGATAACGAGATATGTCTGCCACAAATTCATTCAAAATAACTTTATGGATCTAGACATGTACAAACCTGTAGGTAAGTAAAAGATTACTTTAAGGTACTCAGTGTTGACTTTTTACAAGCCTTTTTTTCTAGTATTTGATTGTAAAGTACTTTTGGTTAGTAAAAGAATTATTTTAATTAACCAATTACTTATCAATCACTAACTTAGAGATCAAACTATAAATTTAGTGTTCATCTTGTTGTGTTAATGAGGTATGGAAAACTGGACCGATGCATATATGTACCTGACCTGCGTTGTAGCTGACTGACTGACTGAATTTATATTTATTATTATTATTGGGACGGCTCCCAGAAAGCGCGACAAAGCCTTCAGAAGCTATAAAGGATTCGAATAGATTGGATCTAATCGGAACCCGATAGAACTTTCCAGAATATCAACGTGATATGGTATGATTGACTGTATTATGATGTTATAGCCCATACTAAGAACTATAAATACAGCCCCTGTTTCTCCGTACATTTCTGACACTTAAAAACCACTTTTCCTGCTTTCTTTTTTTTTTTTTTTGATTTGTAATCTTGAGTTTCCAGACGTTCGAGAGTGCCGAAGCTCTATATACCGTTTAAGCCGTAATCTATTAGAGGGTATTCATTCATTCATTCATTCACACACACAGATTATTTTTCAAAGTGAGCATTATTTACAATACGAATTCGGTTTAAAAATAAGGAACATGTTAAGTTTATCTGTGAGCTGTAATCATAAAAAATATAGACATTTATAACTTATCATTAGTCAGCAACAAATAAATTGTTTTATCCAACTAGATAAAAAATTTATTAAGGTGTTAGTCTAGTCAATAGTATCTAATTGTAATGTAATTCATTATAATGATGTGAGTTTAGTTTCATAAAATAATCACTAACTTTTAGCAGGATGATTTCATACAACTCATAAGTAGTACTTTACTTGTGTCTTGGCTTTCTTTCTTCACTCTTGTTCCGTTCTTATTCATTGGTGTCATCATGTTTCTTACTTCTTCAATCTTATCCAGGCTGTCTACAGAGATGTATTATTGTTAGTACTTATTGAAGCACAGCACCTCCAGGCAACTTCAAGTTATCGGTTCTTTATAACCCCATTCTGTGAGTGCTTTCTGTGTCCCTTTAAACAAAATCACTGCAAATCCTTGGGTGTGCGAAGCATTTACTTCTTCATGACCAGAATGCAACATCATCTCTCCCGAAATTAAGCTTTTCTGTCCAGTGTGCCTCTATTGCGTTTCACTCATTCCGAGCATCATCAGGTTGTATCTTGTCATTTCCATAGCTATATGAGTAGTCCTTCAGGTCTTCCGCATTGTTCGAACATTCCATGTACCGATATTACTTGTTTCTCTAGTTGTTATAAGGGACATCAGTCTCGTAACTTCCAAAGAATCTGGTCTTTCATCATGGGTCGTTATAATTCTTCTAAATGAAGATTCTTCAACTCTCAGGTTCGAGTTTAGATTGTTTCTGGCTAGCGTTTTCGAGTGAGTATCTGTTTTTATGGGTTTTGGTTTATTAACCTTATTGCCGAACCTCACTCTTTACCCGGACTTTGGACTAACACTGGTGGGAGTGTGAGCGGAGTTGCTTACAAATATAGATTAAAACAATTTCACAGGGTTAGATTCATAATTTTTCACCTTCCAACGTGGCATAGACTAGGCACTCGATGATTTCATGCAGATATCCTGTCTTGATATAGAGATTCCTAGCTTATTTTGTCAGTTGATGAATTTTATGATTTTATCAACCAACCTTCTTGTATTCTACCTAGTATTCTATACCTAACCACAGAATCACTTACTTAGTGGTTTCATCATGTATATTTGCAGTTCATACATGGTTTGTGCTTTCATTGGGTATATTTAACAGTAGTAAAGCAATACGATGTGGACTTATGAACAGCACACTTTACCTTTGATTGGAAGACAGATAAATGACCTGTATGTTTTTGATATCTAAGTGGAAGTAAAATCTTGCCTGTTAATGTTATATCATTTTATTTAGCATATTATATTGATAATTGGGATGATTGAATCTGGTAATAAATAGGTCGTATTATTCAGTAGGATGTTTATTTGTTATCTACTGGATACGTGATTCTTATGGATGAATTTCATCGTGATAATGTATAGTAGGCGATTCTGTGTTATGTTATCTAACTTTTTGGAGCTTAGATAATGACAAACAAGTGCAAAGGATTACATATATAATTTTTTATCTTCATAGATCATAATTTTACAGTAGTAAAACAATATGAAATGAACTGACGAACAGTAAACTCAAACATTGATTTAACAGGCAGATACATGACTCATAACTAAATACATATTGAACGTACATCTTGTTGATGACTACCCAAGTAGCACAAAACTAAGGGTTTAAAGGTTTCTTACCGATTACTATCTAACAGCAAATGTAATAAAAAAAACTGTGGTTTAAATGAACTACTATTGTAAAAATACATTATTTGTAAAACTTAACACACTTTTGTTAATCAGTAAACTCATAATGACAATAATGTACTCTCTCATACATTTATCTTCAAATAGGCATCAGAACTTCTAATATGTAAATTTACTAAGCCTGGGACTAGTTAGATAGTATGTATAGTTTAACTGAACAGTCAACAAATATTAAGGTGTTTTGCGCACCGAAAAGATAGTATACAACATACATTTGTGTAGCTGGAAGTTAAGTACTTGGATTTGTATTTAACTGATGAATTAAATGACAAGTAGAAAATATACAGTAGAAATTACATCGATTCACAATATAATCCTTGATATCAAACTGATTACTTCGCTTTTAAATTAAGAGAGATACATCATTTATATATATATTCACAAGGAACAAGAAATATAAACGACCGGAAAAATGAGAAATTATATATAGATACATTTATTCACTTACTGTAACAGTATGACCTTGGTAAGCTCTGATTCTTAACCGGCCATTTTCTGGATTTGTCGACAGTTCATAGCGTTTTTTATCGTTCGAATTAACAACACGTGAAATATCTTCTAGTCGAACCCCTTGAAATGGTTTCAATTGAAGTATTTTATCTACATAAAGGTAACCACCTGTAGAAATTTAACGAAAAATAAGTAAATATTAATAATGTTAATAAAAGCAAATCAATTAGTAACGTCATGTGAACTATAAAATTCAAGAATATCTCCAAAATGCTTCCTATAGTAAGAATAACAATTAGCTCTTATTAAATATACTTTACACATATGATAGATAATTGATGAGTAAAGTCAGAATATTTAACAATCACCACCAATCAAGGTCATGAGCTCAAACACTGACTCATTTGAAATTCAATTTAAACAACTAGATAATTATCAATGTGGGGATTTGGGGAGATTGTAGTATTTTAACAGTTGAATTTACGAATCAATCGAAGCTAGACCACCATTGAAAACCAGGAAACAACGTTGAGGAGTCCCATACTAGGACGAAACGGCTATCCAGTTCTTTCAGGTTTTCAATAGTGGTCTAGCTTAAATTGACTCGTGAATTCAACTTTAAAAATTAAATAATTTATGTGTGGTATTAGCAGTAAAATATTATCAGTCACTAAGTGTAGACAAACAGTCACTTAACTTATTGACAATGAAATATATGATCTTTATTCCTCTCATTGATTTCTACTCCTAACTCGTTGAGTGTAGATTGCTTCTAACTGTGTGCAATGAAGTATTGTCTAGTATTTACGAAGGTTCTCTAGTCTTGATCGTGAATCGTGTATCTGATGTATGGTGATCTAATCTCTGTGTATTGTGTATCGTTCAAGTATCCAATCTAGCGTCATGTAGCAAACCGCAGAGAGAAAGGGAGAGGGAAATATTGTAAACCTTATGTTATATTAATAATAGTTTAACTAGACGTAGGAAAATTATCGTGTCGTTTGATTACTCTATTTCTGCTTCAGCAAATTTATTCCGAATCGATATATATATTAGACGAAACTTAATTCGTAGTACTACGGTATTCATTCACTCTAAATTAAGAATCATTGTATAGCTATCGCGTAGGTTAAATAACTTTTTGTGCAGTACAAATCTTGTCAGATATTTAGTGTGGTATGGTATGTACAAAGAAATGCAATGGGTATAGGTGGTGCTATATTGATTACTTTGTAACATTTATTTTCATGATTGACCAATCATTTTCACAGTTGAAATCATAAAGTGATCTTATCCAAAACACTATTAAAAATCTGGAAGCATTAAACGGCCGCTTTATCCTAGCATGGTACTTCATAACAGTGAGCATCCATGACTTCGTGACTAGCAATTGAACCCATAGCCTTCAGTCTCGTGCGTGACTGTTCAACCTTTACACTAATCAACCTGGACCCAATCATGTTAATATATTATTTCAGTTAATTTACGATCCCGTACAACCATCATTCATTATTTGTTGTCTGACCACGGGTACTCATAGAAAAACTATTTCATTAGAACAGTTTAGGCAAATGCATCATATATTGACAGATCAATGAGATTTAAGATGTCTATTGGATCTTTGCGCAAAGTTTGAAGCACAATAACAAATAGCATGTAACATATTGAAAGTTGAATAAATACTTAGAATATTTAATTACTAAAAACCGATAAATATGAGAAGGTTGAAGGATGAGGATGGTAATTTATAAAGTTACAAAAATAACTTTAAAGTTTTTGATATTTAAAGTTTTCATCGATATAGGGCAAGAGAATATTTGTCCATCCAATTTATTATCACTACTCTTAATTGCTTATGTTGTATTCGAATTTATAACCTTAAATTCTGGCCAATTACTTTACTTGAAGAAAATTTTGGTTTTGCTGATGTAATAAATTATTCATTTATGTAACCTGCATTCCTACTGGCTAAAAATTGGCTTTAATTTTTCAAAGTTACTTCAAGAGTCGCTGAACATCTTCACTATAGTCTACTTTTATTATGAAATTCATTTAGGTGGAGAGTTGGCGAACATTTTAGTGAGTAGATCATCTACTGCAGTTCAGTCACCTTTTTTATGTGTCCAATCAATTCATCCAACATTGTCCCATGGGAATATTTAGATTAAAAAAACCTATGACGTGAAAACAACACACATACATACCAGGTTCATATTTCATTCCGACATTCTCTGCTCCATGACGTAGAATCCAAGCTAACTTTTTTGATAAAATTACATCAGGGTCTTTCTAAAGTATCATAAAAAAAATATCAAGAAAAGTTGAAATATGAAATATCACCATACATTTAATTCAGGCGGTTTCAAGCGAACTTTTGATCCTCTAACACTGAATCGTAATAATGCATCATTATGTACAACATCAATAATTTCATCATATGTACAATGTTCTTTTTTGAATTCAGGTAATTGGATAATTTCATCAATTAGGAAATAACCATCTGAAAACAGAGAGAGAAAGAGAGGAACAGAAACACAAGTTATTTGTTGTGAAATGAAATCAATGCATTAGACAAAGTTGTTGCATCTTAATATGAGGACTGTTCGACAGTAATGGGTGAGCACACTCAAGATTCAAGTGTTTTCGATCAAGATAATGAACACTATCCTGGAATTATAGAAAGGCTGTACACGAAAGCATCAGATTAAGTAGTAAGTAGTATGACCACTAGCAACGTTGTGAAGCTTTTGACTTCTGGAGTTAATAAAATCCAAAAGTAGGCAAGTCAACATTGGATAAAGGTTAAGACTGTCATGGGACTGGAAGATTTTGAGAGTCCGTGGTGTGAGTGTATTTTGCCCTAGAGTTTCAGAATTTGAGTGAAGTGACTGCCCGATATCCTAGGGTTTTCAGTAGTTATTCAATTTAAACCAAAGTTAGTGATAAAAAATCATTGCGAGACTACAAACCAACAACGACCTTGAGGGAACCAATCAGATTCAAGATAGTGGTTATTGGATTTTATGCAAAATAAAACACATAGTTCTGATAATCTTCGTCTTCTAATTACATTATCGAAATTTATGAAATAAGTAAAATTGTTCATAATTATCTTGTAAGGTGCTTAGAACTGTTAAAAAACTTTTAGGGGTCCATATAATGAGTTTGACATGATGCATAAGTCAAATTACAAGGATTACATGCTCCTGACGCAGATCGTACCTGAGAGCGATGGTTTACTTTAGGGCATAGCCGAGTGTTCTAGGATATTATATCTCTAACTCTTAACTTTGACACTACTAAGTGTAACTCCTGAGTCTAGACGGACTTCTTGTCCGTAATCTTAATCCTAATTCATTTTTAGTGCCCAGAGATCTGACTCCGATTTGGACGAAAGAACGAATATACCGTGAACATAAATCTTCCATTTAACACCTAGGCTAATCCCGTTTGAGCGACGGGGGTAATAAGTCAAGTAAGGATTGAGTCGGATGTATTTATTTCAGACAATCGCTTATCCAGAAAGACATGAAAACGAGAAGCAGAAACTCGAAGCGGAGAATTCAAGAATGCGTACTCCCTTTTACAATTCATTACAAGCTTCAATACAACCCAAAATGGATGAAGCATAGTGTGACAAATAAACAGGTACTGAGTGAAATAATGAGTGACAGACATGTAAACAGTACATATGAGGTGCATAAGAACAGAATCACAAGGACATAGTGTGTGCTGAAGGTCATATTACCTATGATGACAACATTTATTATTATAGTAAGAATGACTCAATAATCATATGTTGTCTGAGTCAATAAAGTCTGTCCAAAAGTTAGGGTGAATCATCTGTGTAGTTGTACTAGACGCTAAACTTACCATGTTGAGACTGTATATCCATCACCACATCACTATTTTTTTATAAATAGCTTTGTAACTCTACATTCTGTTTTCGCATTGGATGATACGTCGCTCAAGGTTGACGTTATTTTATGGTCACTTCAAAGCCTAACATGATCTTCATAAGACCAGAGACTTAGTAACACACAGTTTGATAAGGACAGAATGAGGATTAGTTTTAATGAACAGTATTAGTCTGATCATAATCTATATACTTTTCAATGTGAAGTTACTATTTTATACTGAAGTTGTATGGTACACTGATTTACTTTTTTATATGTCAGTGTCAATTGTCTACATATATATCAGCAAGCTTATAAAAGATCATTCAGTGAATGTATTGAAGAGTAATAATTGAGTTAGAGATGTATCTATGAGTATAAGAAAGTCTGAACTTCCATTGCTTGAGATAATTGACAAATATGATGTACGTATTATGCCAATCTATATTTCGACATTTGATTATATTTATAGTAGACGAACCAGATTTCAGTGAATGATGGTTTATTTCTACTATTCATAAAAATCAATCTTCTAGTGAAGTCAGTCAGTTAATTAAAATCCATGTAAAGTATGGTACAAATGTGTGTAAGCCCAAGTTGGCAAACCAAATTGACACGACGAGATGAAATTAACAACCATGTTGAACGTGAGAAAGGCACTAACAAAAGACAATGGGAGATGGTTGCGCAACATTATGGATTGATTGAAGTTAGTCTGGCACACCATTCAGTCCCCGCCCAGTGGTCCATGGGTTAGGCGTCCGCGCGCGAAGCCGAAGGTTGTAGGTTCGATTGCTCGTCACGGAATCATGGATTCGCATCACTAAGTAGTCGTATAATAGGAAGAAACAACTGTTTAATACTTCCAGGTTCCCAGTAGTTGTCTAACTTAGGTCAGTCTGTGATTTCAATGAAACCAACAAGTTGAGTAAACAAAGGAATTGATGTGGTAACAATGATGAAGAGAAAGATTAAGCACTGACATACGATTCAGGAAGACAAAATGAAAAGGTGCGTGCGATAGAATACTGGAACTCACAATCGAGAATGCAACAAAGAGTGAAGTCGAGATGTTAATATCTATATCAACCATAGGAGACAAAATAATCCATGGTGCGTCTTCCAGAATGATCATAATTAACTTTTATTTTAGTTAACAAACAAAAATTAAAAAATTATGATCACCACTTAGCGGTCGTTTTCGTTGTTATAGCAACTTAAGAGTGTATATTAATAATAAGTGACCTCAACGGAATGTATATGAGTGAGTAAGGTTTTCAAAATGAAAATAACTACCAATCTATTTTAAGCAACTAAGATACAATACAAAAATGAAGTAGAAACTTAGATAAGTCAATGTATATTTACAAAAAAGGAAATAAAGTACATCAGTTTAGTATTTAAGGAAACAAAACAAAATATCCAGATTTGAGGAACAGATATTGGTTTGATTGTTGTTTGAAGTCATTTTAACATAGAATTAATGTTTCCAAAAGTTAATCTAATTGACATGATATGAAGCAAAAAAGATGCTATTCGCTTGACAGCAAAAAAGACTGATCTATGGATATCCTTGAGACAAATTAGATCTATAATTGAATATTTTAAATGATCAAAGCTTTAGAATCATAGAAATAACAAAGATTCATCCACATCAGTCATTCATAAGCAACATAGAAACCTTGTGTGTGTGTATGCATCTACTTAAGTCGTCTCACACTTAACGGCATAATGAGATGAAAATATGAAGACAAATGCCACAGTAGTGGAAATAGTAACAGTATCAGTGGTGGTATAAAATATTAAACCGAGACAATAAAATTCACAAAGAAGGAATACATTTGTGAAATACCAACTATAAGATAATTTCAAAACCCAAATCTGAAGGAAGACAAAAAGTGAACCCATCTGCACCATTGTGAACCACGTCATTAAACGTCAGCAACTACTGGCCAAAATCCGAACCACGTAGTCTTTACCTGCCATATACCCGTTTACACAAATAGTCAAAAACATCACAAACTGATGCTAAGTATTAGTCAAGTCGCTTCTAGCTTCCATTCAAAATATTCTTATGCTAGCTAACATCGCCCGTACAAGTAAGCAGTAATTATTGATTTGTAATACATCTCCCAACCATTTCAATCGATGAAGATTCATCACCTAATCAGCCGATTTGCCGTGTTTGTCATCTTTATATTCACATATTATCTTTCGCGCTGTACTGATTAATAATATTCATTACTGTTCTAGTATGAAATATAACTGTTGGTTACGACACATTATCGTATCATATCTCACAATGTTTTTGTTTTGTTGCAAACTAGAAAATGTACGAAGGAACTTTGAACTGTCAAAAATGTATAGTAGAAAGAAATAATTTGTTTATATAATAATAACAACAATGATAGTTAACATTATCAACTCTCTCCCCCGTCCAAAGTGAAACAAACCTACCTGATAAGATAATGGTAATTTAGTAATACAAATTAGTACAATGAAATGTTAATTATAAAAAGAGATAGTTGAAGAAAGTTTTCACTGTTAATAGTAATTGAGTACACTAAAAGCTTCAGTGTGTCATTTTATTCATAACTTCGATAACCACTGTTCAAAATAAGCAATGAATATGTACATAACTATCAAGCACAATGTCTTCACTTTTGTTTTTTAAACAATATCACCAAAGATTGATTTTAGTTGTAGTACTATTGGAAACTACGTAGCACTGAGTAGTTTTTTTATTCTCATATGAACGCTTCTCATTAATGTGCACTTACGATCTCGTCACAAATTTAACCTATGACATTCAGGTCTCACGGTCAACGACTTAACCTCTGTACGATGTCCATTGGTATAATTCTATATTCAATCAATCTATGATATAGCGCATGAATTATCCACTGTCATTAGTTACAAGTGTTTCACCTCCCACAATATTGTTTTAACTCATTTTTTGAAGGAGAAGAAATTACGTGTAAAAAAGTAAATTTTCAACTGAAATGGGATTAAAGAGTAGTATTTACTCTTTTTTTTAATTATTTCTCTCACCTGGTAAATCAGTAAATTTATGAATATGCTGTAGCTTTCCTTTTAAAAATTGTTCTAATAAATTTCCAATTCTTTCATATCGATCAAGTGATTTACGCTATAAAGAATTAAAAAGAAAAGAGAAATCCAGATTATGAGAGCGAGAGAAAGATGAACTATTTTAAAAGGAAACCTAATTTTTTCCTACTTAAGATTTTAAAAATATGCAGCGTAGTATGACACGATAATGGTAAGAGAATAATCAGACAGTATAAATGTGCATAGAAATAACAACAAATGCCACTGAATTAGCTGCTACTGGTGTTATGCAATTATAATAATAGTAATAATAAAAAATAGTGAATGTAATTGAATTCACTGATCAGGTAAAATTTATATATTTGGTTTTGGTTCACATTATAAGTATGAGGATCAGTGATATAAAATTGGATTGCACAAATTAAAGTGGGGAGGTGATTTGAAGCCACGATTTGATAACTGAAAGTCGAGTGCCTTAACTTCTGAGCTACCGATTGAATTTAGTTTATCTATAAACTTTTTTTCATTAATAAGTGATATTTTGGAAGTGCGGCAACAAAATATTAACATATTAATTATTTAGACCTGTTTGTTATCCTTTATAGAGCGTAGGTCAGCCAGGGATCTCCATACAACTCTGTACTGCACTCACATTCCTAGTTTTTGCTAAGTAGTACTAATACTCCTGATGCTTGCTTCCGAATCCCAGAGTTATGTGTCTTGAGAATCTTAAGCTAAGGGTTGTCTTGTAATCCAGTCTAGTGGTTTTTGGATAGTGTCTTCCTCACTTTCACTATCTTCTAATTCCTTCTTCAACAGAAGCCTAGTTTGTTCTCCGATATGGCAGGTCACTCTTGATGATCTCTTGCCAATGGATCTGGAGTATCTTGTGCAGACAAGTATTTATAAGTACTCGCACTGTTTTGATGGTGGTACTTCTTAGTTTAAGCTTCGTACAACAGCATTGTTTTAACGTCAGTGTTGAAAATCATAACTTTGGTCATTTATGACAGCTCTCTTAAGTTCCAGATATTCTTCGATTGCAAGAATGCTGCCTTTGTTTTTCCAGCTCGTGCCTCCACATCGACATTACATCCTACATGTTTATCAATGAAGTGTCCCACGTGCGTAAAGGCTTCTGTCTCTTCATGAGTTTCTCCGTCAATTGTGATTTGACCATTACTTACTAATGTATTTTAGAATCTTGCTTTTTCCCTCGTACATACTAAGGTTTACTGCTGCGGAAGCCGATGCTACACCGAGGGTTTTGATCTGAATTTGTTGCAGTATATGAGATAAAAGTAAGTCATCTGCTAAATCCAAGTCGTCTGGCTGCATTTTACGTGTCCACTGCATTCCTATGATTTTATTGAGGCGTGGAGATCTTTATAATGCATTCAACGATCAGAAGAGAAAAGGTGAAAACAGGTGGCCTTGTTTTAAAACAGTTCTAATTAGCAATGCATCAGTGAGTTGCCATCCATGCACAACCCTGCAATTCAGTTCGTCCTTGGAGTTTCGAATGGTGGTTTTTTTAAGCACTTCAGTGTTGAAGATTGTACAAGTCCTTCCTGTTCACAGAGTTGAACCCTTTTTCATGATCTAGGAAGCTGACGTAAAGTGACACGTTCCATCCGACTACTTGTCCACCAATGATAGCAGTGTCGCGATTCACTCAGTACATAACTGACCCTTGAGAAAGCCAGCATTTTAATTTCGAATTTGGGTGTCTATCAAATCTTTCAATCGGTCCAGCGACACTGCCAAAAGCTTCTAGTACTAGAAGTAATATGACACCTCTGTTATTCTCAAGATCACCAATAGCTGATTACGTCACTCTGTCTTGATGATATGTTTGTTTTTACAGCCTGTTGGTACTTGTTCTTTCAGCCAAATCCTGCAGAACAGAATGTAGGAAATCTCTGCTGTCATTTCTAAATACCTGGTAATTATGACTTGCCATTCTTGATTAATCTAAGCTTTGCTAATTTCCTATATAGTTAGTTTGCACATTCAAAGTACAGTATGTTTGCTTCTCAGTATGACGCACTTCTAAGCTTACTGCTGGTTCAAAGCTCGGGTAAAGAAGGAGGGTTGGGCATGTGGTCGACAACTTTGTCCAGTAGAAAACAAAATTGCTAAATAAAACGCTAACCAGAAACAATCGTTCAAAAAATCTAAACTCAAGCCCGAGAGTTGAAGAATCTTCATTTAGAAGAATTATGACGACTCACGGTGAAAGACGAGCTTCTTTGGAAGTCACGAAACGATGTCCCTTTTAAAAACCAGAGAAACAATTAATATAGGTACATGGGACGTTCGAACAATGCGGAAGACCGGGAGGACTACTCATATAGCTGTGGAAATGACAAGATACAACCTGATGATGCTCGGAATGAGTGAAACCCATTATACCTAGAACATCTTCACAGTTACTTCTATGTCTGACTTCAGTGATTCAGCTAGTATGTTTCTATGAGTAGATTTTGTAAGCCTCGGAACATGTCGCCGAAAGTGAAAGTACTGGGTTCGAGCCCCGCTTGTGGTATTGTGGATGCGAATTGTCGAGTAGTCCCACACTAGAATGAAACGGCCGCCCAGTGCTTCAAGGTTTTCAATGGTAGTTTGGCACAATTCCACCCCACAAATATATACGCAAAGCTACATGGGTTTCACCGGACCACACCACAGAGAACCAGATCGACCATACCTGTACAAATAAAAAGTTCAGAAGGTTCATGGAAGACGTGTTAACAAAGAGGCTAATTAATATAGCTTCAGATCTTTACTTGATTGTGACCGAAATGAGACTGAAGTTAAAGAAGCACTGGAAAACTACCGGAGAATCAGATTTACAACCGTTTAGTACAGTCTTCGTTCGAAATACTCACAAACTCAACGAATTCGAAATAGATCTCAGCAACAGGTTTCAAGTTCTTCAACATCCACTCAAAGAAACATAGAAGCTGAAGTACTGAAGTCAGACATAGAATTAACTGCAAAGATGTTCCACGTTCTATTCAGGAACATTTGGAAGGAAGAACAAGTCTCGACAGACTGGAAAGAACGTTACTTGATTAAGATACCAGAGAAAGGTGATCTGAGCAAGTGTGAGAACTGCAATGGCATCAGCAGATGCCCAACTTCGAGATCAACAGACTGAATTCCCTGAGGATCAGTTGTGCACAAACCAACTCGTGACACTACGGATCATTATTGAGCAATGAATTGAATGGAATTCATTATCATACATCACTTGCCTTGAATATGAGAAAGTGTTTGACCACGTGAATAGAAGAACCCTATTGAACGTTCTCCAACACTATGGTGTACCTGAGAAGATCGTCAACATCATCCGGTTTGTTATATTTATGAAAGTGAATTCGGGGATAAATGTTACATACTTTTTGAGTGACAACGCGATCTTTCAGATTCAGAAAGTACTTTAAGTACACTTTAGATAAGAATATCACGCCTGACATTGATGTTTAACTAGAGAAAATAAATTGTGATTGATCACTGAGTGCAGATTAACAGGCGTTCAGCTTACTGACTATTTAATTTTATCTCCATCCTACTGTTGATTCCTACTTTGGACTTAATGAGTGTAGAGTGGTTGTAAATGTGTTGAGTAACATACTGTCTAGTCTATACTCTGGTTCTCTATATTTGGTCATGAATCGCGTATTTGATACCATGTGACCCCACAGTGTGAAGTGTATCGATCAAGTGCCCAGTCTGGTGATGATATAGTCTAGGTTACTGGCAGTATCGTCGTATGTTGTTAGTAAAGATCGACAAACAATATTCCCATTTTGCCGTTATATCAACTAGGGGGAGGAATATTTTCATATCTGATGTTATCAAATACAGTCAAGATACGCTTTATTCTTAATCAATCAGAGTACTAGTCACAAGTTCTTTTGCTGATAAGGGTAAGAAATAAGGATAAATATGATTATCAGTACTAGTCCTATTCAAGTACTACTCTAACACTTGAGAAAAAGTTTGCTTATTTTCCAAACCTCAGAATTTATGAGATTTAAAGTGGTCTGTAGATTCTATTTTTTAATTTGTTTTATTTTTGCAGATACATTTTAGGTGCTTAACTTTTCCCTCTCTTTGCCTTTTATTTTGATACTTTTGTCTTTTGTTGTACGGATGCAAAATTTAGATAGCTAGAACTAGTGAATATTTATGCTAGGTATAAACTTATTCACAGTAAGTAGTTAAATAAACATAAAACAAAACAAGTAATAGAATACTGATGACACCAAGAAAATAAGTTTGGAAACACAAACACTGTATTGATTATTAGTGGGAGGGAAGGGAAAAAGCTACATATAAGCCACAAATGTTAGCAGTATTCAGTGTGGATTAGGGTGATGAATTTACCGTTTGAGGGATTTCATCTGTAGGTGGTGCAATCTGAACTTGTTTTTCTGATGAACTTGAAGTAGGCAAGCAAGTAGAACAGAAACGAAACATACTAGTCATTCGATTGGTACATTTTCTATGGCTGGTTGGAGACTAAAACAGGTTGCATGCAAAGTTTTTTAAAGATTAGCAAGCTTGAGTTATAAAGTGTAAATATCTAAAAACAACTGGTGAATTCACAAATGTATTTTCTATAAGGCAGTTGTTAATAAAGTAGAATAAAATAGTCTGATAATGAAATATCCAAAATCCAGAATCAAAACTCTGCAAGTGCTTATTAAAGTTGATTGTCATCGATGTGGTTACTTTACAGATAATTGATGTGATCTGCACAGTATAAAAACTTTATGAATACCAGAAGCTTTCATCGTTTGAGTAACTAATATGTCGGTTGTTATGTAGATCGATTTGCTAGACATACAAAAACACAATGAGTTGTCACATTCTTTATGCCTGAAACTTGAAGCTCTTGCAGCCGATTTTGAATCATGAAACTCACCTTCTCTACACCTTAACAACACTAAATATTTTTATGTTGCATACCGCTGTGATTTCAAAGACGAAACACGCCACCGATCTGACAGTTTGTTCTACACAACTTAAAAATAAACTGCTAATAAATCCTTAACCGATAAATGTAGGTAGTGATATTCAAACTTTATACGGGTTTCTAAGGTTGCCTGAAACTAAATCAAAGAATCCTAATCGGACTATAATACACTGAATGATTAAATATTCTATTTTGCACACCAATTTAGTGTCCAATAATAAACTTTGCTATAAATACAGAAATGCGTAATATATTTTCTGGACCTAGATTTTCAAAGGCAAACAAACAAGCACATTGCACACTTTGAGGATTGGTTAGTACAGATTGAAGGTCCATAACAATTAATAGAAAATTAGTGAAAGAGTCAAGACTAAAAACTTAAACTTATAGTTCTACCAAAACAATCACCTTATTAATACAAGTTAGAATCGGGAACACATTATAATTAAAGTTCATTTGAAAATTTCAATACTGACTTAAAACTACATTGTAACTTTACGTGAATGTGGAGTACAATGCGAACATTATGATGAGTTGTATACCTATGAACTATTGAATCGTACTCTTCCATTTAAACAGAAACTCATAAAACTCTCCTGTTTCTAGTTAATACATGTTCATCACATTGAAGTAAATACAGATATAATGAAGTTCAACGAAAAAGTATAGATTTACGCATCCACTATACGGTTATAATGATTTCGAACAATAGGAACTGTTAGTCAAGCTATATTAAGTAATGTCTCCATCCATGAGTGTTCTTAGGTAACAGTTGTATGTTTATAATGCGGCTGATCATATCAATTTTGGACTAATTTAACAGATTTGGACCGTGGTGTGGCACTTCATAGATTAGAAAGGACAAGACACTAAAAAAGAAGCGTTTTCACCTTAAGTTTGAGGTTCTCAGTTTGAGATGTTAGAATAACTCATCAACCAAATAAAGATTAAGTTAATGGGTTGTGGGACACTAAGAAAACTATCGATACTTCTCAGATATCTTAACTGAACTAGTTAAAATATAGGTTAATGAGTGAGATTCTCTAACTAATCGCATCTCAAAATATACTCGCAGACTGTTAGAAAGATGTCCAGTTACTTTGAAACGAGAAAACGGATTCTGAGAATAAAGAAAGAGATGAATGTAGATATGGAAATGTAACATAGTAACATATGACAAAGATGGACCTTAACATTGTGTGATTTTACTTAAAATAAACAGGGATCAAAGTTACAGTTGGTATTTGAATAATAAACTATAATGGTAAATTCGCTAATAAAATTCGCTCATTGAATGTGATTGAAGTTGCTGTCACTGTAGAACCAGAGTCACCTGAAGCCCACTTCATCCAGGCACTAGTACTTAAGTATGGATATTTGTAGGTAAATATATATAAGCAGGAGTGTATCGGTTGCCTTTAGAAATTAAGTTCGAATACCTTATAGTGATTGTGTCAATTCACATCAATTATAAGAAATTAAAATTATTTAGTGGAAACTGTGAAAGACCAAATGACTATACACTCTAGTGAATGGAGCAGTATTCCAAAAAGTAGTTGATTAGTTGAAAATAAATTGATCAAACTTCACTTATTTTTTCAAAAACCTATAATTTCGCGAGCAAAACAATTCTCACTCAAACCTTTTTACTTTAGACTTAGTCATACTCCCAATTACTAGTTTTAGAAGTAGTTTAAAGCAGACTGTAGGTTTCAATCACGAATTCACGTGAATGACTAAAATAAAAAATTCTGGACGAATTCATGAAGGTTTTGCAAAAAGCCGCAATAAAATTCAGGTCAGAACATTAATTTCATGCCTATGTCCGAAAATAAACGGCTGGAAATAAACACGAGACGCGTGTTAACGTTAAAACAACTATGCATACAAAACTGTTAAATAAAAATGTTGCAGGTAAGTATATTTCTTTAAGGTGAAAAGACAAGAAATAACCCTTACCTTGTAAGTTTTCGAAACATCCACTGTAGTCGACATTTGAAACGGGGTGCCTGTGGAGTCCATGGACTTGAGAATTTATAACAAATGCTTTCAGTATCCAATGTCTTTGTGGCGAACTTGCGAAAATTATTCGTTTTGCGTGCAACTACCTTTTAGAGAATATAAATATCCAGGATTTTTACTTAAACGGTCAGTTCATAATGAAAACAAGTACTGAACTTGAATAATATATTAAATATGGGGATTAAGAGAGTATCTTTTTACTCTTCTACCAATGTAACTGATTTGAATGTGATGACAAATAAGAGTGATGTTAGAAGTTCAGAGTGTAATATAGAAGTGTAAAAAGATGGACATGAGACTAACAAGTCAACTATATGAGTGAGTGGAAGCGTCTTATGTGAGGCGGGAATCTTCAAGAAATCTCAACCCCTGACGCGCCACAAATCACCAGGCCCAGATTATTTGCATCCACCCCTTTTCGAAGACGATGATGGAATTCTGGGTGAGAAAGTGACCGAGATCTTCGCAAAGGTTTGGCGATTAGAGAGTGTTCCAAAACCACAGATAGTTGTCCATATATTTAAAAAGGGTTCACATCATTTCTAAACATATGGAGGATAAGTCTACATATAATCTCGTCCAAATTTTTAGCTCCTGTCGTAAATAACAGATTGTTTAAAACCCGCGAACGATTAACTCGCGAGAAGCAGGCTGGTTTTCGTTCTAGTCGATCATGTATTGATCATATTTTCACCCTTCGCCAAATGTAATAACACCATCATACTTAATACAAGACAAGAATTTTAGCGCTTCTTGACATTACGGCTGCGTTAGTTTCGTTGAACAGGACTGTTTTTTTGAGTTATCTATTGAAATATGTGTCTGAGTAATATATTGGAACCTTAAAAGCCCACACGATGAGTCAATTAGAGCAGTATTTCTCCATGCTTGTGAAACCTAGTCTCTCTGAGATGAAGATGTCAGATAATTTTCAGTGTTTGGTCATCGTTGCCTCCGAAAGATTGCTAACATCCAGTGGCAACATCATATTGGTAATGCAAAGGCTCTGCATCGTGTGTTCAGGCACAGAGACGACGATTCAATTAGTGTCACTATCTCGAAACGTCGACTTTGATGGGTTGGATATGTCCTATGAATGTCGTCCTTGAGAATTCGACATCGTGCATTATTTGCCGATGCTGGGACTAATTGGTTACTTTATGACATGGTGTTGAGGTATGAAGGGAAGCTTTACAGGATTGGCCTCTGTCAGTCTTTCATGACTCCTGCTAAGGGTCCTAGAGATGTTTCGACACAGTGGATTGAGACATTAATAAATATGTCTCAGAATGGAAGCCAGTATTGATTCTGCTGTAATTTGCTTTTACTTTCTTCACAAAAAAGGAACGTGACGTCTTTAACTGAAAGAATCCCTTCTGGATATATTTTTGCTAACTGAACTTGTAATAATATTGTAAAATATGATCGATAAACAAACCCACCAATAGTAAAGTGAAACGCCCACCACCACACTAACTTTTCTTGACCTTGTATGACCGTGTCTCATTTATTCACCAATCACAATTCGATGTTTATTATAAAACAATATTTGCCTTGTTGACTCATTTTTCCAACTCTCTAGCTACTGTTCGATACGTTATTTATGCTTCCGTTTTTCCCTGTGTTTATAGACTGTACTTTTGTTTCGTACACTAACAGTGTGAATTTACGTTTTAGAAACAGATAAAGTTTATCGAGCCAAGTTGCTTACTTGTTCTGACTTTGGCTGAACCAAAACTTTGTATTCGACAGTCTAGGGATTAGCTTAGAGTTGAATCTGTAGGAAATTGCTTCCTACAATGTTTCGAACAGTATCTCATCAAGAATTCGTACATTGAGTATCTTTAAATGTCTATGGAGAGCCATAAAATTGATCATATTACCGAATTGTCTCCCTATTATTCAGAAACTCATAGTGAAGACCAGCTCGGAGGAAATACCTACCGAATGGGTGCCTTGTTAGAGTTAGAATCAGCTAAAGTACTTTTAGCCCAGACAGAACGAAAAATTAAGTTGGAACGGTTACGTCGAAAGGGAAGAGAACATTATAATCAAGTTGTGATTGACAAGGCGCCAACGTATGAGTCTACATCTGCCTCGTATGCAGTTGACGTTCCTCCTAGAAAGGACTGGGTCACTGTTGTGGATGCGGAGGAATAGACCAATAATTATCATGTTAAGTCCAATGGTGTCCTTGGACTTTAAATGGACATTTCCTATTGGTCGACATCTGTTCACTTGTTGAGTATTGTACAAAATGTTGTTTTTTATTTTTATGGTACGATGTGGTATCCTTGGTTAGTATATAAATAGAGTATGTTTGAAATATAATGATTCATATCTCAGAGGTTGTGACTTGTTTTCTGGACTCAACTGACTGGGCTAGACAGGGAAGCGAGACCAATAGAGACTCTAGGCCGTCCGTTCGTGTTTACGTGTCACTGTAATCGATCGATAAGTACGCTGCTCTCTAATTTTCCAGTCAAGGACACAACAATTAGCACAGGGTAAAAATCGACCGCAACCTAAAGCCATAACAGTCACAATGTTATCTAGAGCTTTAGACCCACCAAAGGAAGAGGTTATAAGGTTTGATGGTAACCCAATGAACTACTGCAGTTTCACAGGGAATTTCGAGGACTGTGTTGCTGGGAGCGTTGGATTGCGATCTAGGTTAAACTATTTGATCCAGTACTGTGATGGTGAAGCTAAAGCTACCATTGTTCATTGCGCATTGCTCGAGCCGCAAGAAGGCTATCGTAAAGCGCTAGAACTTCCCGAGGAAGCGTTTGGTCAGAGGCATATAGTGGCCCATGCATTTATTGATAAGATGCTGAGCAAACCTGCTATTAAAGGGACCGATCCAGATAATTTAAGAAGGCTATCTCGTGAGATGCATATTTGTGAGCTAACACTCACGCAAATGAACTATGTGTCCAATCTTAATTCTACGAAAACTATCGAACGCATGTTCTTAAAACTCCCGCTACACTTGCAAAAAGAATGGGTTAACGTTGAGTGTAGAATTCTGAAGACGGGTAGATAGCCTTCATTCAAGGACCTTTGCGAATTTGTGAAAGAGCAGTCAGACATTGCTAATACTAGATATAGATTACTTTTCACCAGTGACCCTTCTAGTCGCAACCAAAGACAATCTGTTGCCGATACTAGAAGACACCTTGATTCAGGATATAAAGCGAGAGTGTCGTTCGCTAACACGAGTGAGTATGATGTTACCCCATATGTGAGACCAAGGGTTCTTGGGTTGTCATGTTTATTATGTACTGGAAACCAACCCTTGGATCAATGTGAATGGTTTAGAGACAAGAATGTTAATGAAAGGATAGAATTTGCATCGAAGAAGAAGTTGTGTAATAACTGCCTAAAAGCGAACCACATAGCAAGAAACTGTCGAGCACCGAGGTCATGTGCCATCGAAGGATGTGGTTGGAGGCATCATACATTGTTACATAGGAAGCGGGAAGAGCAAGAAGATAACAGTAATAATGCACACATTAATACCCAACTATATACGGAGAAAAGCGTTGAGCGTGTGCAGAAACAATTAGCGTTCGCAATAGTGCCTGTGTTGGTAAGAAATGGAGGAAAGGTAGTACAGACTCGCGCCTTCCTAGATAGTGGGTCGCATGCTTTGCTTATTGCAGAAGATCTAGCCAGAAGGTTGGGTTTAGAAGGAGAGTCTAAGACGATTTTATTGAAAACGTTGGATAACCAGTCCATATTTCAGTGTAAAGAGGCTCAAGTATATTGAGATGGTGGAGAAGATTTGTAGCTCAGGTGGATGATTTTGGTGGTGATATCTTACACTTGTTGGTAGAACATGCTGGCGAAGACACTCATGGAGAAAATATAGTTGTTCTCGAGTGGAAGCCTGCCTTTTGGCGAAATTCTCCCATTTCCGAACAACGAGAAGCGTATTACGCTCATATGATTTTGAGATGGTGGAGAAGATTTGTAGCTCAAAATCATATGAGCGTAATACGCTTCTCGTTGTTCGAAAATGGGAGAATTTCGCCAAAAGGCAGGCTTCCACTCGAGAACAACTATATTTTCTCCATGAGTGTCTTCGCCAGCATGTTCTACCAACAAGTATAAGATATACACGACCAAACCATCTAGCTCAGAGAACAAAACACCACCAAAAAAAAGGCTCAAGTATAGGTTTCCTCCTTAGATTCGTCTTCATCATTTAGAATCCCAAATGCATGGACAGTCGAGAGATTACCTATGTTGCTCAGGACGGTACCAACGACATCTCAAATGACATCCTAGTTTCATCTAAAAGATATAAGTTCCCCGAGAGTAGAGGATGAGAACGTTAAACTGTTGATCGGGTGCAACGCACTGAGTGGACACGAAATGAAAGAGATAAGAAGTGGAAAGCCGAGTGAACCATCCGCCGTGAAGATTCTGTTAGGTTGGACGCTGTTCGGTTCCTATGTGGAGCCCTGCAAAAGCAATCGTGTACTCAATCACCTCTCAGCTAAAGAGGAATCAGAGGATAAGTTTGAACAGTTGTACTCAGTTGAATTCAAAGATCCATTTAGTCGTACTATATCGATGTCTGTAGAAGATGGTATAGCACTCAGTACTATATCAAACTCAGTACAAAGGTTAATCTGGCACTATCAAATAGCTCTGCTTTGGAGGCACAAACACAAGTTACCTAATAACAGGGAATTAGCAGAACGTAGACTTAGTTGTTTGAAAGGTTGACTTATTCGGGGTAAGAAGTTGTTCCAAGACTATGTAGACTCCATGACTCGGTATTTGGAACGAGATTACGCTGAAAAGGTACACGATAACCACTCTGATGGACGAATTTGGTATCTTCCTTATCATCCAGTCTTCCACCACAAGAAACCTAACAAGTTAAGAATAGTGTTCGATTGTGCAGCTCAGTGTGCTGGGACGTCTTTAAACAAGAACCTTTATTCTGGGCCTGATTTAGTCA